AACTTTGGTCTCTCCTCTAAACATATACCCATATGACTACATTAAACCTGACTGCATATGTCCATATATAGAGAAACATACAGAAGCATACTCCAAGACTCAAGCAAGTACTAACTCTTTATAAATAGCATTATATTACAATTATTAATTATAAGATTAAATTTGAATACATAAGACTATGATTTCATTGTAATTTACATTTATGTTTCATATATATGACATATATGTCATCCTTCATGACACTTTTTAAATACCTACCAAGTAAACATAGTTTTAAAAAAAATAGAAAAGATGATCTCATTTCATGTACCTAAAAATTTAATAGTACAAAAATTATGCTTGCCCAGGAAAACTAGAAAAATTAATGTGCTGTTCCTTACCAGATTTGCAAAATGCAAATATAGCAGTTTACATTGCACATATTTTAAAGAGATAAATTTTAACAGTAAAGCCATAGTGCATCTTTTTGTGAAAGTAAAAGTGAGCTTAGATAACTACTTACTGCAAAACATTTGTAAGAAGAAATTATGAAGAAAATATTAGTCTGAACTTATTTTAACAGGAAGCTCTTTTCTAAATATGTTTGAAAATATATATATGACTTTATTTCTCTAAATATTTATAAATATTGATAAACTAATGAATATGCAGTTTTCAATAATTCACTTAATAATTAATTTATTGTGTGTTGCTTTGGTATTTTCCTACTCTGTTATTTTGCTAATTTTTGTGTGCTATGTATCAATTTTTTAAAAATAAAGCTAATTTCATATGAGTACTTGAGGCAAGCTTGATAGGCAAAACAGGCTATTCATGATTAGAAGGAGGACTAAGCATGCTATGAAAAGAAAATTGTGAGATAAAAGGCAAGACACTTCCTCCTTTAAAATGCCCAATCTTATGGAAAGATCTGCATGCTCCCTATTGTTCTTGCATGGAACAGTGCTTTCCCACAGGTCATTAATGTAAAGCTGCACACAAAAACTTTCTAAATATAAATGATAAGCAGAATTCATATGAAGTAATATTTTAATATCTTCAACTGAAGTTGAGCATATATGTAATAATATGCAGCATAAATGGCATTTAAATAAACACTGAGAGATAGATGCCTTATCTGTGGAAAAGGCTTAAATCTTACATAAAACTCACCATTTGTGATGGATATGTTTATGACGTCATAAAAGTACAGAGATGTAGGGTACAAAAAGTTCTTCTGCAAAGAAAAGTACTAGAAAATCCGGGAAAGTTAAACACATAGATTACCTCTTCAGAAGAATGAACTGCACAGCTGCTCCACATAGAGATGCTAGGAACAATTTAATTTTACAACCTGGTGATCCTTTCCTGTCTGATGAGACAGGATCACTTGTTTCTGTCAGAAATCTAAAAAATATCCAAGACCTTTCTCCCTAAATTTTGAACATTGTTTTTAGACCATGAAATCCACTCTTATGAGTGATGTCACTGTGCTTTGCAACTGCCTAAGTGACTTCTATGTTATCTTAAGGCCAGGCAAATTCTAGCAACATAGGTATTATGTTTATGTCAGTCAAGATCTCTAGAATCTAAAACTTGGGCACTATCTCTGAGTCAACAGTAGCTACGCTTGAAAAAGAAGCCAGATGTGTTTTGCAATAAAACTCTATATAAACATGTCTTAAATTGTTCTGAAATTGGAACTGATTTAATTGCTATCTGAGTTGTTTTTTCAGGTATTGTGCTGTGTTTAAATGTGGCTAAAGTAAAATTATCTGGGTCGGACTCTAATAGTTCTGATCTTGCACAGTTTACACTGAAATTGGGCTGAGTCAATTTCATTCTTGTCTCTTTGTTGAATATTTTTCCCTGTCTCCTGTAAAACCTGCAGGGGACTCACCTCAAAGAGAAGCAAAACAAGAATAAAACTTGTTGTAGTCAACATGAGTAACAGATCATTTTGATTATCTTTTAGGTTAACTTTTAGAAAGCTTTGTGTCAGTTTCATATGTAAGTCCTGGACTTGTGCCATCCCAACTTTTTTTTGGCTCCTCTACAAAAGCTAATAAAACATGGAAATTACCTTATGTAAATACATAGCTCAATAGATAAAATAGTCTTTTATTTCATTGTTGAAATCTATAAATTTACTTTTCATAACATGTTAATATAAGTGGAGACTGTTTAATGGATACAAGCTGTCCAGACCTGACCGAAATAATCATATATTATTGGCAATACTGTTTGGCCAGGAGCATATTTATTATTATTATTATTATTATTATTATTATCATTATCATCATCATCATCATCATCATCATCATCATCATCATCATCAATAGTATTTCTAGTTAGCTCTTACATTCTAAACTAGCCCATCCCCATTAATCTGTGCACCCACCACAAGGTTGTGAACTATGAGCAAATTTCCCGCATGCACAAGCAGTGTGTCTGTCTCCTGTGGAAGCTACATGGCTTCTCACTGACTCCACCTACTATTTCTCTCTCTCTCTCTCTCTCTCTCTCTCTCTCTCTCTCTCTCTCTCTCTCTCTCTGCTTGGAACTTCCACATTATTCTATTCTACCCTGTGATAGGCCCAAAGATCTTCTTTATCAAAAAATGGTACTCACAGCTTACAGAGGGGGATTGCACATTGCCTCCACTTTTCTGCCTAAATAAAATGAAGGTTTAAACTTTACCATAGAAAAAAATGACATATACAAAACAGTTATCAAGTAAGAATTATAGTTATAATATTTAGCCCATTTATATTTGCAAATTAAGGAAAATACCCTATCATCTATGTTATCTTTTGAGTCTAAAGTGTACACAAATATTGGTTTTAACAAGCAAAGGTCTTAATACAACATTATAAATATCTCCACCAAATGATAAGGAAACAAGTATGAAAATATAAGGCTTCCCCTTAGAAACAGTAGCATAAACAAATGGAAATTTTACAGCTGCAAAATATCCAATAATTATTTTTGAAGGAGGAAGCAGAGAAGACTATTATTTTGAAGATAAATCAATAGAATTTATCAAATCTACTAAAACAAAAGTCAGAAATTGAATGAAAATAACCTCTACCATACTAAGTGCAAAATTCCTGTCATCAGAGTATCAGCAGGACTGGTAAAAATAAAACTAGTGAAAATTTAAGAACATGCAAACTTTAAGAAGTTCTAAATATAGAACTTCTGTAGAAGACCAATACTTAGAATCCTGCTGCCTTGTTAACAGAATATATGTGGACCAGAAAGACTCACAGTGAGGAGAGTCAGCTTCCTTCATTGAGGTGACCCCTGAAAGTTTATTTACAACCCCATAGACAGATGGTCCTACACCTCTACAAAGGTGTGCATCCTAAGGGAACAAGTAGAGTTTTGCTTGTTTGAAAACAATGATCAAACACAATACTGCTCTGACAATGTTTGGTGAAGGAGACAAAAAGTTGTCAAAAGTGAGACAGTTGGTGTGTGAACTTGAGCAAAACACATTACATGAGTGCATGCAATTCTCAAGGAATAAAAATGTCCCCCTCTCTCTGTGAGAGTGTGCAACCAGTGATCAACTTAGGCATCTTTCTCAAATTCTTTTTATGTCTTTTTTCTTATTACTTGTTCAAGTGTCAGTGTCATTTTTTTTCTCCCCACATTGAAGAACTATTTATTATCATGTTTGAGATTAATATAATCATATTATTATTATTATTTTGATTTTTGAGACTGGGTTTCTCTGTAGCTTTTTGGTTCCTGTCCTGGAACTAGCTCTTGTAGACCAGGCTGGCCTCGAACTCACAGAGATCCTCCTGCCTCTGCCTCCCTAGTGCTGGGATTAAAGGCGTGCGCCACCACTGCCCGGCTAATCATATTATTTTCTTGTTCCTTTTCTTACCCTCCTAGTTCCTATATAATACTCCTTGCCCTCTTTCAAATTATGTTCTTTGTTTTCATTAGTAGTTAATACAAATATATTTACATATCTATATATTCCTAATTATAACTTATTCAGTCTATGTATTATTATTGATATGCATGTTTTCATGGCTCACCAGTAAATTTTGAAGAATTAATAGGTATATTTTTATTCTGCGGAAGATCATTTCTTTTACTCTAAGTATTCCTTTGTTGTCTGGAATACTATCTCTAATTTGAGGTTATTGTCTGTCCTCTAAATACATTACTAAGTATATTAAATGTGGTATTCACTCAAAATCATTGTAGCTATATAAAATAAAACTAGAAATATATACAAAAACATAGGATGAAATACATCAAATGCATGTAAGCTCGTTAAATTGTTTCCAAGTAATCTGTGTTAAACAGAAGCCTGGAAAAAAACTAGAAAATCACTCAAACGGAAAAGGAATTAAAAATATAGCTAAAATACTTTTGAAATGTGTATCAACTGATTTTTCTGGTAATTAAAGCATTTTATAATTATTAGAATATGAAAAAGACTATTTTGTGTAAAATCTACTCTAATCTGTTTAGCAAGAAAAGAACAAATTAAACCCTAATGTGACTAAAGTGTATTATAAAGGCAAGAGCAAAATCAATTGATTGATAGGAAAATGCAATGGACAAAATCAATGAACACAAATCATGGATCTTTGAGAAAAGATCAATAAAGCTGCTAAATTTCCAGCAAGTCTGAGAAAGCAAAAATAGTGCAATTTGTGAAATTTTGGAATGCCAAAAGGTTGTAAATGGAGACCATGCAGGGCTAAGCAGACATTTGCAAAATATTAATATTTGCCACTCTATGCATTAGCAAAATTTATCCCAAATGAAAGTAAAATTTAAATTGTCCTACAAATGTTATAGACATCAAGTTCCTTGAATACATTTTAAAATGTGTAAATGCAATTATTTGATTAATTTTAAGAACTCTTGTCTCCAGATCTTATCATTGTTCTCTACAAAATAGAAGGAAAAAAATCACTGACATTAAATACCAAACTCAAAAACAGAATAAACATGAGAGGAAAATTGTATAGTAGTCCTCCTTAATTTAAAAATAATATTCACCACATTCCACTACTACAACAAACTCTGCAGTCCTGCTTTCTGAATTTGGGGAAATCACAGAGATCTGAACATTCAGAGGGCAATGGATAAGCCTCACCCTGGAAAAAAAAACACCATTATGGTCATAGTATTTTCTTTGCCTGGTAAGTATGGCATAAATGGGAAAATTTAAGTAGCTTAATTTTTATACCTTATTTGTCAGTTAAGTAGCCTAATTTTTAGATCTTATTTGTCATTTTTTTTGTGAATGCTTTCCTTTCTCATTATTTTGGAAGGTAATTCTAGATCCCAGACAAGTGTTGTACTGACATGTGTCCTTAATACACAGCTAATAGTTCTGATAGAACTGGGAAGTTATATTCTTTCCTTCAGCTCCTTCCTATGTTCTTAGAGATTTGTCTTTTATAAGACTTTGTTATTTTTTTAATAGATTAACTGTAGGCCTTAATCACAACCAGGACCACTCTATAACTGTCACTATCTCAACCACACCCTCTGCATTTTCAATAAAAAAGATTTATGCTTTCATGTATTGGAAAGTCTTAGGTGAATACACTATATGTTAGATATTTCAGAAATGTGCAAAGTCCCAAATATGTCAACTTATCTGAATGACTTCGATTATTTTCTGTAGTCATTATTTGCAAGAAATATATTTTTTAAAAACACTACTTATACACACTTTTTATGGTGACTATCTGAAAAGAAATGTTGAGGCATTTTTCAACACTTTCAGAACCCATTACTTTATTTTGTGACATTTGCCATTATGTGTGTACTTTCTCACTTATTAAATGTAAATTGCTTTCCTCTGTTCTCAGGCTACATCCTAACATTGATTTGATGTCTTGTATACAAAATGTAAGCAGTGCTAGATGAGGAAGAAGACTGAAGACAGTGCTGTATCATTACTTTGTTTTAGTGACAAATGTTTTAGTTAAAACACTCTAAGACAGATAGCCAATACATCCTAGAGAGGTGACAACTTAAAATACGAATATCATTGTAGTATTTATCATCATTGCAGCTCCTTAGATGTTTCATAGGAATGTCTTGTAATGTTTGTTTAAGTTCTCAAACGGCTGAAAAATTAGGGATTTGATGTGGAGGTAGTTTTAGAAAAAGAGGCATTACATTTACTACTTAACAATATATTTTCAAAAAGTGGCTATAAATACATTAATGTTTAAAATGATAACATACTAAAACATATGAATGTTTCCAAAATATTCAAGAAAACTATGAAAAACAGCTTTAATGAATAAAATTATAATATTTTTTAAGTTTTGATTCTAATATACGGTCAATGTTACAATTTTGCAGCAGTAATTTTCTTTTTTTCTTTTTTCCTTTTTTTTATTGAAAAAAAAATTTCCGCCTCCTCCCAGCCTCCCATTTCCCTCCCCCTCCTCCCACTTCTCTCCCCTTCCCCCCACTCCTCTCCCCCTCCCTCTCCAGTCCAAAGAGCAGTCAGGGTTCCCTGCCCTGTGGAAAGTCCAAGGTCCTCCCTCCTCCATCCAGTTCTAGGAAGGTGAGCATCCAAACTGGCTAGGCTCCCACAAAGCCAGAACATTAAGTAGGATCAAAACCCCCTGCCATTGTCCTTGGCTTCTCATCAGCCCTCATTGTCCGCCATGTTCAGAGAGTCCGGTTTTATCCCATGCTTTTTCAGTCACAGTCCAGCTGGCCTTGGTGAGCTCCCAATAGATCAGCCCCACTGTCTCAGTGGGTGGGGGTACCCCTCGTGGTCCTGACTTCCTTGCTCATGTTCTCCCTCCTTCTGTTTCTCATTGGGACCTTGGGAGCTCATTCTGGTGCTCCAATGTGGGTCTCTGTCTCTATCTCCACCCACTGCTAGATGAAGATTCTATGGTGATATGCAAGATATTCATGAGTATGGCTATAGGATAGGGCCATTTCAGGTTCCCTATTCTTAGCTGCCCAAGGAACTAACTGAAGACATTGCCCTGGGCACCTGGGAGTCCCTCTAGGTTCAAGTCTCTTGCCAACCCTAAGATGGCTCCCTTAATTAAGATATATACTTCCCTGATGATATGAATTGTCCTGTTCCATTCGTTTCTCTATATTTAGATGTAAGACCTAAGAACCAAAAGTAAGTATTAAAGTATGTTATGAAATATGATATAGTTTGTTTCCATATTTTAAAGTCTTTCAACTAATGTCTATAGATGTTCAAACTCAGCTCAACAAATCTGCTTCCAATTAAATTAACCCAACTAGGTAATTTGTTTCCATTATAATTTGTGTTTTATTTTGTACATATATATTATATATTTTTATTTATTCTCAGTCTCAGTTAGGTATCAAAGTCAAATAAAGTTGTATATATATATATATATATTAACTAATGTAAGAATATTTTTGTAGAATTTAAATGTAATAATTAGGATAATTGTCTATCTAATTTTACATATATAATTGTAGGGTAAGAATATTTGAATTTGTACCTTTTTTCCTGATAAATTCTAAAATGTATTGTTGCTGATACTATCATACTCTTGAAAAAGATCTCAAATGCTTGTTTATCAAAGTTGTAACTTTGTGACCTTCATTCATGTCATTTCTTTTAGTTTCCTATACAAATAATTTAAATCAACTTAGGTGAACAGAAACTAGGACTGCTAGAAAGACGTAATATCTTCTCAATAGAGCAGAGCAGTTGCAAAAAATTAACTTACAGCAGCTTTAACATCATGCTTAAGTACTTTATTACCAAATCCCATCATTAAGTTGTCACTTAAACGTGAAACACCACTTCCTGCTTTGGAGTTAATAGAAAATGGCAAATGTTCTTTTTATTTATTTATTTATTTTGTCTAGTAGTATTGCCCTGATAAATTTTTCACTGTCCAAAGCAAGATCACATGTATAAATTTTTTTTTGGACACACAAATTTGTCTTTTAAGTTTTATTTAAGACAAAAAAAAAAAAGAACGTTGTTTGGATTGGGCTGGGTGTTGGATCTGTGAAGAGTAGGGAAAGGCTTGTCAATGTGATTTAAAAATAGTATAAAATTCTTAAGGAGATTATTTCTTTTTGAAAAGAAATACCAAATATAATTTAAAAAATAAATTAGTAGTTATAGAAAGAAAGAAGATATTTTAAATGTCATTTCCCTGGAATGCTAGGAAAAGTTTAAATATTTCAACATGAAATGTTACCACTCAGGGAAGTAAGAACACAATTTATAAGATGGGTTTTTATTAAAGTGCTAAATAATATATTTATGAGATGCAAATCTAGTTAACATCAGTACTCATGATTTTTCTTACTTTTGTTGATACTGTTTTTGATTAGAAATTTACTAAAAATTTCGATAATACATTTTCACAAATAAAATAAAAAAACACTAATTGGTATTTGCAGGACTAAGGTAGAAAAAAAAATCTGATGTTGAGAGTGCTACTTTGAGTACAAATTACAGAAAAAAATGGCAATGTTATCAGAATTTAAATTACATTAAACTTCTAAAAATATTTGGATTTGATATCCTTTGAATTAAATCTGAAATGAACACACGTTTTACTTCAAGTATGACTGCTTTACAAGCACAAAGAGCAGGGATTACGTTGTTGACGTCATGTAATCTTTGGCGTTTAAAAATCAAAGTTATTTTTTTATCAGGAGAGAATCTAAACTGAAGGAGCATTTGTCAAATGGGATTACATGAAGTACTGAGACTCAGTAAAGGAAGCTCTTCTGTTGGCCATCAGAGCAGATTTAGTAGTTGTCTTTGTCATTTTTAATATGTAATAACAGACTTGTCAGTGATAAAGACTCAAAAGTCAATTGCAAGAACCCAAGGATGAGTGAAATTTAAGTCCCTTGAAACTTTGATTTTTCACATTTCTTACTTGGATCTTCTTTGAGGGGTTAATGCAATTCTCAGATTAGTGAAGATCAACATTGTAAATCATTAGGTAAGCATGGAATGTTTTATATATTACACATTTTAAGAAGAAACTATTTATATTATTTTAATAATTTATAGTATGGCATTGAGTTCTGTTTAGGAAGCATATTTACACATGCACTATACATATAAGAACATAATAGAGTCATACACATATGTGCATCTATGGATGAGTCAACATGAACTGAAAAGGTAATCAAATGTGTTAATTATCACACATTCAAACATCAACTTTTGCTACTTCAACTATATTGAAAATTTTTTTATTTAGTAAAGATGCTCAAAGGACTTAAAAAATTAAAATATTATAAAATACCTTATAATCCTTTCTTTTTTTTTACTTATTAGCCATTTTAGTCCTTTTGTGCTGCTATATCAACAAATGAACATTAAAAATAACAGATATAGGGTGTGGGTTCACTCGTTAATATTGAACAAAAATTCATGATTTACAATTATGCAAACCAGGAAGACAGTATTCGTACTGATCCCTTGAACATCCTGTCATCACTTTAAGATCAAAGAAAAGTATATAGTCCTTTACACATAACAGTATATTTAATAAAAATGGAAGATTTCTATAGAGAATCAAATAATAAAAATGCACTGCAAACAGAGAAATCATAGATTAAATCTATAATAATATTTAAGGACATACTAGACAGAAACAAATCACACTAGGTCTCTTTGAGGAATAAGACAGTATTACTGATTATTTAAATAGATGTTCAGCAACTATAGAAACTAGATCAATTATGAGGCAATTATAACATATAATTTTTATTAACACGAACTCTTAAAAATGATATAATTATAATTGAAATTTAACATGGAATACATTGGTAGTTTTCCTAAATTGATATACAAGGATTAAATTCACTTGGGCAGGAATACAATGACAATGATAATAAATTGGATGTTTTTGTTCATATTTGTCATTTATCCCTAGTCAATTTTCATTATAGTCTTTTAACATTTGTGATTTACATGCAGTATTGTCCTATGATCAGTGCTATGCAGTAGATAAACATATCCCAATTATTAAGAGGTTGATAACAATTTCTTTCAGCTTTCTTTTCCTTAATTTCCAATTCAGATGTTAGATATATTTTCATGGAAATTAATTTAGAGATTAAAAGCTTAGATATTCTTCCATAATATTTTTTCATGTAGAGAACTGAGAGGACTAAGCAATTATATTTTCATTTTTTAATGAA